CGTACCCACTCACGCCGAATCGGTCGCGAAAGAGCTATCAAGTCACGTGTTCACCCACCACTTAGCTGGTTGCCGGAAAGGGCGAGCTCCTTCAGTGCTGAAAGGTGCCCCAGCTCCAATGGGATGGGCCCTCCAAGAGGACGGGTGGAACGGAGTACCTGAGCGGGACAAAAAATGTAACCCCCCGCTTTCTAGAATAACGGTCCCGCCTACTGCATACACGGGATTCATCCCGCACGACTTCTCACCGGTCAGCTGGTTATTCGAAAGGTAGAGAGACGTCAGTGCTGCGAGCTCTCCCAGCTCCGGGGGAATGGGCCCTGGAGCGAAGTGCAAGCAGGAATTCAGCGGGAATTGAGCGGGGGAAAAAATAAAAATTACCCGGCTTCTAGAAAAGCAGTTACTCACACTAAATGGACGCCAACGCAGTAGGCGGGACCGATGTTCTAGAAAGCGGGGGTTACATTTTTGTCCCGCTCAGGTACTCCGTTCCACCCGTCCTCTTGGAGGGCCCATCCCATTGGAGCTGGGGCACCTTTCAGCACTGAAGGAGCTCGTCCTTTCCGGCAACCAGCTAAGTGGTGGGTGAACACGTGACTTGATAGCTCTTTCGCGACCGATTCGGCGTGAGTGGGTACCTTTGGTTTAGTATATCGATCTCCGTAGATCCCGTCCCGCTAACTAGTAGGCGGGTACGAAATTTCAGAACTCGCGGGATAACTTTTCTGTACCCTGCCAAACTACCCTGCGTTGACTCCCTCGTCTACAGGCCATATCCCGCCGCAGCTAGGAAATCTTGGCGCCCTGCAAGACCTCTACCTCAGCCGCAACAAGTTAGATGGTGAGTTGAACACAATTCGAAATGCGTTATATTTTCCTTCAAGTTGTGAACGTGCATGAATCCCGCGTATTAGTTGGCGGGACAGGATCTACGGAGACCAGTTGTCTTGAAAACAGAGAGGCGGATAGAGTAAAAAAAGGTTTGTTGGCGTCCACGGCGCAGGCGATATCCATGTATGCATGTCTCACCTGCGAGTTGGTTGTTTTGGAGCCAAAGTATCTCCAGCTTACCAAGCCCTCCCAGCTCCGGCGGGATCGCACCTGCAAACAAGTAATATACGTTTGCGGGGGAAGTAGAATTTAATCACCCGGCTCTCTCTTTTCGAGATATTCGATCTCCGTAGATCGTGGTGCGTTGGCGGCCATTTAGTGTGAGTAACTGCTTTTCTAGAAGCCGGGTAATTTTTATTTTTTTCCCCGCTCAATTCCCGCTGAATTCCTGCTTGCACTTCGCTCCAGGGCCCATTCCCCCGGAGCTGGGAGAGCTCGCAGCACTGACGTCTCTCTACCTTTCGAATAACCAGCTGACCGGTGAGAAGTCGTGCGGGATGAACCCCGTGTATTACATACACGGGATTCTTACAGGCCCCATTCCGCCGGCGCTGGGAAAGCTCGCAGCGCTTCAAAGTCTGTACCTCCAAGGGAACCAGCTGAGCGGCGAGACACTGTTTAGATGTATTGAAAAAATAATTCCATTAATTTTCAGGATGAATCCCGTGTATGCGTTGGCGGGACGGGATCTACGGAGATCGATATACTAAACCAAACGTACCCACTCACGCCGAATCGGTCGCGAAAGAGCTATCAAGTCACGTGTTCACCCACCACTTAGCGGGTTGCCGGAAAGGGCGAGCTCCTTCAGTGCTGAAAGGTGCCCCAGCTCCGATGGGATGGGGCTTCTTGAAAATTCATGGGAATTTTTTTCAACACATCTAAACAGTGTCTCACCGCTTAGCTGGTTTCCGTAGAGGGACAGATGTTGAAGCGCTGCGAGCTTTCCCAGCGCCGGCGGAATGGGACCTGTAAGTGGAAGAAGAAAAACGGAGAGATGGTTGCGGGTCAAAACAAAAATAATGCCCCGGCTTCTAGACCAGTGAGTGGACGCCAACTAGACGCCAACTAGTGGGTGGGACAAGATCTCCGGAGATTAGTTGTCTTGAAAATAGAGCAGCCGGTAATTTGTTTTTTTGTTTCCCGCTTGTCTAGAAGCTTGTCAAATTCCTGATTTCATGATTCGCATGATCCTTTGTGCAGGGCCCATACCCAAGGAGCTGGGAGCCCTCACGGAACTGAATGTGCTTTGGCTTTACAGCAACCAGCTTACAGGTGAGAGGCGAGGGCCACATACATTTTTTTCAACAGCCAAACCTACCGCTTTTAGAATGAGTCCCGCCGTTGCGTTGGCAGGACCGTTTTTCTAGACGCCGGGGGATTAATCTTGTTTTTATCCCGCCAAATTCTTATTTTCCCTTCGTCTGGCAGGCAACATCCCGCCAGAGCTAGGAGATCTCCGACGGCTGCAGTGGCTGCAGCTCAGCGAGAACCACCTCACAGGTACCTATTTTACTTTGATGGTCGGTTTTGTTTTTTTTCTGGCATTCATCCATGGACCACTGCTAGAAAATTTTGAAGCCGACCATCAAAATAAAATAGGTGTATCTGTGAGGTGGTTGTCGCGGAGCCACAGCCTCTGCATCTGTCGGAGATCTCCTAGTTCTGGCGGAATGTTGCCTGCCAGACGGAGGGAAAACAAAAAGTTGGCGGGAGAAAACAAAATTAATCCCCCGGCGTCTAGAAAAACGGTCCTGCCAACGCCATACACGGGATTCATCCTGAAAATTCATGGGCATTTTTCTTAACTCATTCAAACAGTGTCTCACCGCTTAGCTGGTTCCCGTTGAGGTATAGATCTTGAAGCGCTGCGAGCTTTCCCAGCGCCGGCGGAATGGGGCCTGTAAGTGGAAGAAGGAAAACGGAGTGATGGTTGCGGGTCAAAACAAAAACAACGCCCCGGCTTCTAGACCAGTGAGTGGATGCTCTCTTTTTTTCTGGTACGATTTTTTGGGTGATCACCCCTCAACTCTTGCCCAAGACAGCCAAAACGGGAGAAGCTATTCCTCAACGGCAACGCCTTGGATTGGGGCGCGGTTTTTTGTGTTGTGGGCGCACAAACCAAAGCTAAATATCGCCAGAAACAGATTATTGGGTTCAAGGGGGGAAAAATGGAGCATCGGCGGAAAAGTACTCTAAATATCATACGTTTGCGGCAACCAAATTGCGGAGGAAAAAAACTGATCCGGTGTTTCCTTGAGTGTGTTCTACAGACTGGTGTCATGCAATATGAAGAGTCAACTCTCCACCAGGAGCCAGGAATACGTACTCCCACTTTCTTGTCTTTATTGAAGTCAATTCCAAATCGGCCACCGAGGTTGTGCAAAAAAAAACATTTTTTTTGGTGGTCTGCGCGCTGTTTTTTTTTTGTCGTTAAGGCTTAGTCTTACGGTGTGATTATTTCCGGATTGGATTTTGGGGGGGGGTCCTTTTCTGAGCCAAAACAATAATTTGGGCGTCTTACGGGTAGGAAAATGGCATTTTTCAACAGCCCAAAATCCAACAGGGCAGTTTCCAACAACGATTCCGGCCGGCCTGTTAGAAAATTGGCCCATTTTCCAACAGCGACCCTGTTGGAAAATCGTTGTTAGAAATGGGGGGGTGTACCCCCTGGTCACACCCCGATCGTGCCAGAACGAGGAATTACACCTTCTGCTGGCCAAACAGAGGCCAGTATCATGAGGTCATGCACAAACCCTCTGCAGGTATCTAAAATTCAGGGCGTTCTGCGTCGTGTTGGCCGCACACGAGCCGATAACGTCAACCCTGCCACATTGCTCCGCTGACGTTCCTGCCTTTGGGCCGAAAAGAGCCGTTTTTGTGCCTGCTGCATGTGTGACCAGTCAAAACACACGCCAGAGAGAGCCTTTATGCCGTCGACATCCACAAACTGCAGCCAGTGGCGTGTGATCATATGCGTACCCTCTGCTCGCGTCCCAGAAACAGATCATAATGTCCAGTTTTGATTGCACACGGGCTGTAAACGTGAACCGAAGTGCGTTGCGGTGTTGACTTTTTGACTTTTTTCTTGTTCCGCCGCGTGTTTGCTCCGTGTGTCACCCGCTACCAGTCCACAACACATGCCAGAGATAGGCTTTCGGCCGACGACATCCACAAACTACTGCCAATGGAGTGTGATCACACACAATCGCTCTGCCCGCGTCCCAGAAGCAGAGCGTATTGTCCAGTTTTGATTGCACACGGCCTGTAAACGTGAACCGAAGTGTGTTGCGATGTTGACTTTTTTGAACGTTGCCTTTTTTTTTCTGGTTGCTCCGAGCGTGATCAATCCACAACGCATGCCCGAGAGAGGCCTTTGGCCGACGACATCCACAAACTGCAGTCACTGGCGTGCGATTATATACATGCCCTCTGGAGGCGACACCAAAACAGGGCATTTGGTGTCTTGTTGGTCGCACAAGAGCCAAAACCGTGAACTGAAGCATGTTGTGACCCGCAACGACTTGAATCGGCCCTTTTTTTCCCCCGTGAGAAAAAAATCTGTCTCGAGGAACCGTAAGACGTTCGTATGGATCCAGATCATTTTTCCCTTGCAGACCACCCCCCCCCCACCGAGAGAAAAAAAAATCTCCGAAATAATCACGACGTAAGACTCGGCCTAACGGCGTAATCTCGAGGTCTAACTGTCTGGATGTGTTGAAAAAAAATCGCATGAATTTTCAAGATGAATCCCGTGTGGGTGAGTAGGTGGCTTCTAAGCCGGGTTAATTATTGAAGTTTTCAAACCAACTCCTTTAATTAACCCCGCTGTGTACATTCCCCTCGAAGGATCTATTCCCGCGGCGCTGGGAGCTCTCAGCAAGCTGGAGTGTCTGTTAATTTTCAATCTTTAGCGTCTGTCAATCTTTGACAACAAGTTAACCGGTGAGGGAGTGCATTTTTTTTTCAACGGCATTCTAGAAGGCTACTTGCCAACGCCAAAGGGAGGACACGCGTTCTATAATAGAAGCTGTAAGCTGTATCAAGCATCTCTTTCTCCACGAATTCGTAAGGATGGTCAAGCACATTTATCTCTAGAGGAAAGCACGTGAAGAAACAAATGCACAAGAACTAACCTTGGAGGTTGTTCGCCGCCAGGCCAAGCTTGACCACTCGGCCCTGGCCGTTAACTTGGACTCCATCCCATGTCGCTAGCTCGGCATCTGTGCCCCAGTTGCCTCTTCGGCTCCATCCATACCCGCAGGTCAAACGAAACAGGGCAATCAATGCTTCACGGTCCGTGGAAGCCATCGCTCAGGGAACCTGCACGGAGTTGATATATGTAGCGACGCGGCTAATCTCAATCCCGCCAACACCCCGCCAACTTGCCTGCGATTTGGAGTCCAGTCAAGTCACCACACCTCCCCATCCCCATCACCAATGATGAGGGAGAATGCGGGAAGAATGAGCAACCAGCCTTGTACCGAACTTGCAAAAGACGCCCTGCTACTGCTATACAGCAGTCTGAAAAAAGCTGTGCACTGCACAGCAGTGCAATGGACGGTGTTGCAGAGATTTCGATGAATTGCGTGAGAGAAGCTCTGGTTCGGACATAGTAGACCGTTTATATGCAGAGCATGCGCTTCCCGCGTTCCCGCGAACGCGAACGCACGTGATTGTTTCGGTTGGCAGAACAGTATTTATTTTCTGTCTTGCTTGTTTCTGCTAGCAGATTTGGAAAAGACTTATGTGACTACAGGCCGATTCAGCTCCGTTCTCAGCTCCGATCACTTTGCGTGCCGAAAGATCGCCGTTGTGCCTCGGCTAAGAGCAAAAAACATACATAGAGACCAGCAGGGAGACACAGGCAGCCCACCCCAAAAGCACGCTTATCAGCAATGCGCACAGGACTCACATAGTACAATACTATTCACCCGTGCCTAATCTCTCTGACGTGGGGCAGATATCCTTTCCAGATCCAATCTACTGCCTACCGGCTGTCCAAGATTCAAACGCAAAATACCACCACTGGTACATACAGCACCCTGAACATGTGATCAACCCGGTGCCGCATCCGCGTGGGAGAGCACAGAAAGCGCACACCGGAGCCGATGCTAACGTACTGCCTCGGTGCTTGATGTTGTTGTGATTGCGGTGCGTGTGGTTCCCAATATTGGGAGTGAAGGGTGGTTCGTCTGCTGTGTACAAAATTTCGCTCAAAGGCAAGGGGTTTCGGGACTACAGCTCCGATCACAGCTCTCTATTTGTAGTACAGAACAGTTAAATTTATCACGATTTTTATGCATTTTGTGCGATAGTGGATGATGGTCTCGATTCTCTGATGAGCGGGCCGTTTTTTTGTCGATCTGGCGCTTCTGTGAGGCGGTTTCCCGTCAGCGTCTTCGCGTCTAGCGCCGCTAGCATTTGCGCTTGCCGTATGCTCTGTCCAAGGATGAGGTGGAGAAGATGTGCCAACAGGTATTGCTTGCACAGGTACATCCTCTGTGCGGATGGTTGCTGTCGGAGACAGGCATGCACACCTGCTCAGAAACTACTGCTGCTGTACAGCAGTCTGTTTCTCTCCGCATAGCTGCTACTGCTGTACAGCAGTAGTACTACTGTACTCCTGTTCGTCACCCTTACATATACCGCGTCCCCATCCCTGTGAGCCCCACACATGGACCCACTGCTGCACCATCCTTGCCGCCGTGATTTACGGGTGTACACGCATGCTTGGAAGATCTTTGACCGCAGAGAGCCAGTTGTGGGGAAAAAAACAAAAAAAAATCAAATTAACCCAGTCACGTAAGGGTTAAGTAAACATGTAAACGCTCACACTGAGCGCTTGTCGGTAATTGGAAGGGAAAATACATAGTACAGCTAGCCACGGCATTCTTTCCAGATGGAATGAACACCTGAGCACGCCTCCACCGAAAAGAAGTGTACCACAGGTATTGTACAAAGGCAAGTGCCAGGAAGTGAATTACAACAATGTGCCAAACAAATCGGGAACTCACCAACCAGCCAACGACGGAGTAAAACGGGTCGCTGGGGAGAGTGCGGTATCTCGCTTGCCGTATCACGCTCCTCTCGTTTGCAAAGCCACCACTCTAAGACTTTGAACCAAGAGCTCCGGCAACCCCTCCCCTCGTTTGTTGTTTGATCCCGTCCCAATCTAAACCTCGTGGCTTGATGTATACTATAGGTAGGATTGATGTGGGCGTGTGTGCGGAGAAATCACAGCTGGCGTGATGCAGGATGCCATCTGCGGGCCCCCTCAGAGGGCTCCTTTTAGGTCATTTTAGGCACCTTCCAAACCCTCTTTCCCGTCCTCTCCTCGCTGCAAAGTGTGTGTGCGTGTGCGTGTGTTGGCAGGTAGAAGGGTGGTCTGGTTGCTCTGGCCGCGTGGTTGAGTTGCATGGAGTTTACTTCAACAGCAGCAGCACATGATAATAACATTATGAGTCTCAGGGTACCGGGAGGGTGCTGAATCCCCCCGCATTCGGGGGCCGATCCAAGAAGACCAGCAGAGCCGTATCTATGTAGCAGCAGCCTCGTCGTCGGCGCCAGACAGAATTGAACCTCGGTGTACTACTACTGTTATCGTACTCACAATTTAGGTTCTGGTGCATGTTGGGTGTTTGCTAGCTCTGTGAATGTATCACCGGAGCTGCCTCGCGGTAGGGCAAGACGCTCGAGCAAGCAGCAGTAGTAATAATTAATACGGAGCTCGGTGCAGCACACGCCGCGCCCGAAGCCAAGATTTGTACTTGTTCTACTCCGAATGTACTAACATGAGTCTCCAACGGGTGGTTTGGATAGCTGAGGTCCTGGATGTTCTTCAGCTGTAGTATCGCTGCGGATAATAACTTGTTGTGGTCTAGACCACAATCTAGACGCCTGGTTACCTCCATTTTGAAGTTTTTTTTTTTTTTGCTGTTTTTTGTCTGCCGTCAAGGACGGTGCTTCCGCGCCCCGTGTGGCGAAGTGTCAGTGTGCATGACAAATGGCAAAGAAGCGGCAGCAGCGGGGCTTCCGCTGACACTTCCCTCGACAAGGTGGCAGCACATGGGGGGTTTCAAATGTTGGACGGAGCTGGACGAACGAGTGATCTGCGACTGACTGCTGACGGGTCACGGTGGCGTCCTTCATCGTCGCGGCCCCGCTGATGAGGTGGGAGAGCGCATCTGTCGCCAGGCCGACTGCTGTTGTTGTTGTTGTGTGTTCGTGGATTGCATGCATATGCATACGCGGAACGTACAGTTTGGAGCTGCCAGAGGGAAGAAAAAGGCGCTTTGTACAACATGGTGATTGGACAGCCGTCGCCGATCGGCCAGCACCCTCGACGGGCTACGGCAAGGTATTCTGCATCATCCTATTAAATACTCGCAGAACGTCGTCGTCGACCGTCGACCGTCGACCGTCGACCGTAATTTTACTTGAAAATAGACTGCGGTCGAAAAATATGAAAAAAAAATCCCGCATATTGGCATATTTTTCAGTTGTTGTGTAACTGGGTGGAGCCTTGGCGGGTATGAGTACAGTTGTTGTGTGCCTAGATTGAGTCTTTGGCGGATATGAGTACGTCGCCGACGATGTATAGACGCCATCCGAGGATTGGAGGAGGGCCCTCACTGCATAACGCGTCGGAGAGAACGGCAGTCCAGCAGATGTACACTGGAGGACTGTCAGCAGCTGGTGATCAGGACATATGCGCCCATGTGGTCTACGTGTCCAGCCAGCAGCAGTTATATGTAATACAGCAACAACACAGCACGAAACGGCACAGCCGCGCATGCATCTTCATCATATCACTCCACCAATTCCTTCACCTTTGGCGGCGCGTAGAGGGCGAACGCGAGTACATACTAATACGGTATGTGCTACATTGTAGCAAGGATTGGTAAAGATCGTGCCCACCATATGGTGCGTCCAGCAATCCACAACCACAACACCGAGAACGACAGGGAACCAACGGAACATGAAGATCGGTTCTCTGTTCTCCCAATAACGGTCCCGACAGTCTCGCCGAAAGTTGCGACCGGTGCACGCGTACACACCATCACACGCCTCTACCCCTACCATCGACTACAAGTAAACGTTTCAGCATCACCAAGTGTGATGCCATGCTGTCCGTCACCGATGGACGACATGCCACTACCGACGAAGACGACGAACGCAGGCGAGTACACACCATGTGCCATATTGCGGCAAAGATCGTATGCATTCAGGAAAGAATACTACCGCGTTTTTCGACAACTTCAAATACGTCCAAGCCAAGGAGACGGACTCATATGGAAAAGCAACGACCCGTTTATAGTGCGAGTGGTGCACGAGGAAGCACGCCAACATCCAACCGTCGGTCCTCATATCTGTTCGAAAAGTAGCGCCGGCAGTCGATCAGCAGCATGAGCTCCTGACCACACATTTTGAGCGATGTACATCCCGCGATCGTGTCCAGTCCCTGCTGGGGCATATCATGTCGGCGGGAACACAAGGCTTCAAGGACAGAGCTGGGTCCGCGATAGACCGCCCACAATCCCCATAGTTGCATGGACGAACGTAGCCGCCATTGTTTTTGCGGGCGCCGAGAGCGAAATGGGTGACATAGTGGTATGCTGGAGCTGTTGCTAGTGTGATGGTCGCAAAATACCGTTCTCTTGCGCAAGGCTTTGGACAGACCTGAATCCATGCCGAGAGCCAAGTAGGTGACCTACAGGTATGCTGGAGCTATTGCTACAATGATGATCGCTAAGAACGTTCTCTTGCGGTCAAGCTCCTCCTTTGGGTCAGGCTGCCTCTATCAAAGGACGAAAGTTCTCCGTTTTGAATAACAATAGCGATTGCTTTGTCTCCTAGTCTATAGAAGATCGCCACTACGATGTGTGCAGCTGGACTATCAAAAAATAATATTTCTGAGCGCTACCCCGGTCTACTCTTGTGTACCCATACCCGATACTAACAGCGACCGGATCCCTGTTGCAGTACAATACAAACGGCTGAACAACGCAAGTACTCCATCACTGGGAAACAGTAGCAGTCTCGCTGTAGTTTGTGGAAATCCTAGCGCGCTGGGTGACCAAGAGGCGCAGACTGTTTGAAAAGGCGCAAATGGAGACTGTCCGCAACAGCTTGACCAAAGCACACGACCAATGAATCGCTACACTCGACGTCCCTTTCGAACCTAGCGTAGACAAGGAACCGAAGTTTTGATGTCTCACCAAGAATCGCTGCCTTACCTTTCCGATGCCACGCCCTCAAGACCCCCAAAGCTCCGATTACCACCCCCCAGTTGTCGTGTCCCACTCTGACTGGTATGGTTTAGGTTGCGGAGGGCCGGGGCATTTCTCCCCTGAAAATCAGACGCTCAGCGAACTGGTTCCGAACGTCTCTATTTTGAATATTGTTGGGAAAAGTTGAAGTTGCAACGTTTGGAAATGAAATCATATGAAGCTAAGTTGGGACCAGTTCACAATCGACCCGATTCAAAATTTTGTTTTACCCAAGTCGATCACTTCCTGTAGGCCCATCGCCCCTATATTTTCGAAAGAATGACGAAGGAATGCATCCCAAGCCAATCACCTAGCAAGGAGCTAAAATGGGTGGGTTCTGCCGGGTCGAGACGTCCCAAATCTATCCCAAATCTATTTAGTTACAATACGTTTAGACGGCAGTTCGAATGTTGGTTTTCCAACACTACAGTACACTCCCGTACAACTATAACTCCGCCACCACTGCTCCATCGAAGAGCATCCTGTAGGTCGCGACGTCTCTAGTTTACGTGGTAAGTCTCGCAGCCGTTTCACACGCTTGAACGTAAGCGCAAAAACAGGCAGCGGAGGCGGAAGACGCACGATCTTCCAATACGGCTCCTGTGATCGATTTATCTCCTCCGCTGTGTGTCCCGCTTCAACCTGTTCATATGGAGAATGTTACCGTGCAACGTCGTGGAAGTCCTCAAATTATTACGGTGCTCCAGGTCGAACCCGTGCTCTTTGGGTAAGCCTGTCAAACCAAGCAGCCACCGACGAGATAGGGTAGGCTGAGAACTTCCCGGCTTTTTACACCATTGGGCACGAGTACTAGTTGAATAATATCGGTCGGCGTAGACTGACTTCCCTCCCTTGTGCTCTGTCGAACACGAGGAAGGACGGAACGTCTTCCGTTTCATGAGGAGTGACGTCTCCGAGGTGGACGACAGCACATTTGTACACGAACGCGATACTGTTTTGCCTTGTCTGGTGCCTGGACTGTTTGTTGACGTCCGCCCCATAACTTCCGCAAAACGAGTTGTCGCATCAACAACAAGGTGCACAGCGAGACCATTCCCATTACCAAGTGTCTGCTCACCAAATATACAGCGGTTGGTGGCGGGGGTAGCAGTAGCACTGGTGGTGATTCGAACAACAATTCAGACCAGGGCGCGGTACGGGGAACCGCCGGAAGTGGCAGCGGACGGGACTCCGACCACAACTCAGACCAGGGCACGGTACGGAAACCACAGGAACCAAGCGATGCTTTCACCAAGATCGGTTGATTGTGAGTAAATAACTTTGGTGTGGCATGAGGCCCGCCCCCAGCCTCATTCCGAGCCATGGCCTCTTCTCGCGCCAACAAGCGCGCGAAAGTTTCGTCGTCAGCTCAAGAACCTGTAACGACGCTCGACAACACGGCATTCAATGAGAAAGACGCCGCCGAATCGAAAACGCTCACGAAAATGACTTTCCGGTGCCCGGTCACGATCGACAACGTCTTCAGCGCGCCGACGCCCACGCAGGTCAAGGTGTTCTACGAGTCCAGGAGCAGCAAAGGGAAACCTTTTGATCACTTGCCCAAAGGCGAAAAGCTTGCCTGGACCGAGTCGTTCCACAATAACAAGACGTTGATGGGATTCATTGTGTACACCCAGCTTTTCCCCAAGCTGTTGCAGAACATAATTAAGCTGAATGCCGCAACGTATCATTGGGCGCAGTTGGACAGCTTCTCGGAAAAGGGGAGGATCAAACTCGAACAACGTCGCAACGCCGTAGACAGGCTCAAGAGAAATGGCTCCACGCGCTCGGTCTTTATTGGACTTCCGTACAGGGTGGACACTTCGGCAAACATACTGGCCTTCATGAAGATGAATGTGGAGGGAGAGGACGAGAGGTTCAGTTTTTTTACCAAGCGCGAGTTCTCCATGATTTTTTCGAAGCGGGGACAAGTCGGCAGTTCGTCTGTATACGCCTCGTGCTCCATGGCGCTGTCCCTACTCTGGTTTGCAACGGCGGTTTTGGCCCGGCCCTGCTGCCTCGAGTCCATCATCCTACCACTCTTCGTCACGGAAAGGCGAGCGATGGAGCAGAGATTCAAGTGCCCGTCGCAATTTTTCGACGGGCCCATCCAAAGCTTTCAAACCAACTGGAAAAAGGTGTTCGCCGCCATCGACACGCATCATCGGAACATCAACTACACGATGCTCGAGAAAGCGTGGGAGCACAAGTACATAAAGGGTGTGCACATTGCCGATGTCTACGCCGTGTTTCGAGCAACCATGACGGCCCCAGATGACATGAACAGCATCGCGGCTTTGGTGCGATCCTACAAACAACATTCGAAGCACGGGGTCGAATCCGGGGCTGTGGTCGGCGTCATTGATGTCATCAGGGACAAACCGGTCGAAGCCATTGGTAAAATCGACGGCGGGGTTCTAGGCAGCATCTTTTCTACCTATGGAGAGACGGCGTGCCTCAAGGTCCAAGCGGAGTGAAGCAGGCTGGAAGGAGGGTCGTCTCTGTTTGACGACAGTGTCAGCAACAAGCTAAATGAGATTTTGGCACACTTCGATTGCGAGCTGTGGAAGGCACGAAAAAAGGACAAGGTGGAGCGGGTCGTTGCTACGAACATGGACCCCGCCGGCATGAACAAAAAGATTGAGGGAGGGAAGATGCTCGACCCCACAGACCCGAAATCAGTTGATCTCATGCACACAATGCTAAAGACTATCTCGGGGCAGGTTTGGAAACCCCTCAAGAAATTGATTGGGAAAGCGCTGGGGGCAAGCCTCGAGTACCCGGCCGCCTTCCTGCGCATTACACAGGAAGAGGGAGAACAGCTGTACAAGCACGTGCTAACTGCGGGGGTTACGTATCGTGGCTAACCTCTGTACACTTCTTCTCCTGAGCTTCTCGTGCCAGCGCTCGCAGGTGCTGCGAGAAGCAACCGTCGACGAGTTTGTACTCGTGCCAGATGCGACGCACTACAAGTTTTCGTTCAAGAACAGAAGGTTCAAACCTGCATCTTCAGGAGGGACCTCGTCCGCATCGCCTGTGTCACACTTTATGCTGTCGCCAGATCAGTCCATGATCACACGGTTCATAGCTATCGTGGGACACAGGTTTTGCGGCACACTATGCTTAGACAATGAAGCCAGGAGGCTGTTTGTCAACACCAAGGGTCAGAGCTGGACCCAGAAAGACGTATCGTCGCGCTTCAAGAGAATTGGCATGCATTGGTTGGGCATCTCCAATTTTGGACCTCATGTCTGTCGAACCTTTTGGTCCACGCATGCCCTTCACTCTGGACAAATCAGTGGCTCGAACTTGGAGAACTTCAGTAGCTTTCTACAAGTTTCGAGCACCACTCTGAGAAACAGCTACATGGCGGCATCAGCGAATACCGCAGCGCACACCGTGGGTAGTGAAGTGTTGGGGGCGGTAGTGAACTCCGCTTGCACGGGAGAAACGACAGAGAAGGGCGCGCGGCCGTACGGGAAGAAACTGAGCGCTAGGAGACTTGAGTTTGCGGGAGAGATTCGAGCCTCTCTCGCGAAGTACAGTTGTAGTGGTAGACTGCTGTTTCGTGCTCTTTTGCAGAAGAGGGACGCTTCGCAGCTTGTAGAGGGAGAGAAATGGTTCCGTTGGGAGAATACGTTTTTCAGTCAGAGGGATGAACGGCTGTTTCAGCGGTTTGTGGATAAGGTGAACGCTTAACTACATTTTACGGAACCTGTCAGTGAAGAAAAGCCCCGCCATTTGGGGCGAGTGTCAAAACCTTTTTGTTTTCAGCAATAGTTGGATGGGTGGCAGGGAGGAGTTACTACGGCTGTAGCTCGCGTGGTTCGACCGTGCACAAGGCAGAAGTGGGGGTTGTGAAGCTGTTGATACACAGCTGTTCCACACATCTATTTTCAGTCATTTTTCTATCCGACAGGAGGATCTCAAAAGCTTCACAAACGTAAAGCACGCGTAGAGCACTTGTGCCGTTCGCGCAATACCACGTATCACCCTTCTCTCCTGATGCTGCCACCGCTGCCGCCGCAGACAAAAGGATACGATCACGCACGCACACGCACACACCTCAATTCTTCATGCAGCTCACCTTCATATTCGGTTCAGTTTCCATGTAGGCCTGAGTCATAGCCACAGCAAAAGCACAATCCCCACCAACCCACCCTGCATTCCATCCCTCCCTCCCTCCCTTTCCCTCCAGCACGTTCGAGATGGCGCACCCGTTGGTTCCCTCAACGGCCCTGTAGGCGTATGCGCGTAGTGTTGACCAAGCGACACCCACCGTGCTACATCGATTGTTCGCAGGCTGCCACCTATGAAGAGGATGGTCAACCGGCCGAAGGTTCATTTGGTGGCTTGTCCAGCTGCGTGGTGTAGAATTGGAGAAGAGCGAAAGTGCACGTTGTATTGAAAAAAACAAATTATGAAAACACCATTTCTCTTCACCCCTTCGCATCTCACGGACAGGTACAACAGCAAGCGAGACGGCGCGCTCCTCGGGTACGAGAAAGAGAATGGGGGAAATCTGAAAGAAAACGTCAAAGCGCAGGAAAACTCGGGAGAACCACGGGATCGTGATCGGTCGGTAAGTCGGGGTCGTGACCGGTACATATAAATTGCACACGGCGAAGACGGGTAGATAGGATGTCGGCCATGGGCTCGGCCATGTTGTCCCGCATTCTTTTGAAAATGAGATCGAGTAGAGCTGACATCTCAAAACCTGGCCATCAGATTTCAAAATCTGGCTTTCGCAAACTATGTTGAGTTTTCATAAGTCTGTGAAACTGGTCTCTTGGAACTAAACCAGTCTTCTGGTGACATGACTTGACACCCTAAACTCGACCTTGACATAAAGTTGAAGATATACTCTGCAATGTACCGCATGGATAGGAAGTGACACGGTCAGCAGAGAGCTGGCATATCAAACCAGGCCACTGATCTCAAATTCTGGCCTTCGCAAACTAAATTAAATTTTCCGAAATCTGTTAACATGGTCTCTCACTACATCAACCATTGTTCTGATGACATGACCAAACACACTAGCCCCTACCTTGAGATGTACTTGTAAAAGTACGCTGTACTGTACCACATGGATAAGAAAGTACTGTTAAGTGGACTGGGTCGATGTGCGACAACACGGGCAGATGTGCGACAGAACGAGAACTTGCCAGAACCGATGGCCGACAACACGGCCGAGCAGCCAAGACGCGCGACAGAATGAGAACTTGTCAAAACCGATGGCCGACAAGACGGCCGAGGCGCGAAGACGCGCAACAGAACAAAACTTGCCGGAGCCGATGGCCGACATCACGGTCGAGCAGGTCAGCGACAGCACGCGCGGCGGCGTTTGGCTATCCATGCGGTACGCTACGATGTATGTCTACGGGGATATCTCAAAGTAAGTGGTTACGGTATCTGATCACATTATCAGAAGACTGGTTTTGGTATCAAGAAACCAGGGATCACAGATGTTGGAAGGCTCTAAGAAAGTTAGAATCTGAAATCTGATGGCCTGGTTTTCAGACGCCCGCTATCAACTTCATCTATCTTTCACATGAATGTGGGACAAACCGGCCGAGCCGATGGCCGACCACAACACGGCCGATGCGCGACTGAACGAGAACTTGCTCGAACCGACGGCCGGCAACAACACGGCCGAGCCGCGAAGGCGCGCCACAGAACGAGAATTCGCTCGAACCGATGGCTGGCAGCTACACGACCGAGCCGCGAACACGCGAGCCACAGAACGACAAATTGCTCGAACCGACGGCCGGCAACAACACGGCCAAGCCGCGAAGACGAGCGACTGAACAACAAATTTCTCGAACCGATGGCCAGCAACAACACGACCGAGTCGGGAAGGCGAGCCACAGAACGAGAACTCGCTCGAACGGATAGCCGGCAACAACACGGCCGAGCCACGAAGGCGAGCGACAGAACGACAAATTGCTCGAACCGACGACCGGCAACAACACGGCCGAGCCGCAAAGGCGCGCGATAGAACGAGAACTCGCTCGAACCGACGGCCGCCAACTACACGACCGAGCCGCGAAGACGCGAGCCACAGAACGACACATTGCTCGAACCGACGGTCAGCAACAACACGGCCGAGCCGTGAAGGCGCGCAACAGAACGACAACTTGCTCGAACCAATGGCCGGCAACTACACGGCCGAGCCGCGAAGGCGCGAGCGACAGAACGACAACTCGCTTGAACCGACGGCCGCCAACTACACGACCGAGCCGCGAAGACGCGAGTCACAGACCGACAAATTGCTCGAACCGACGGCCGGCGACTACACGACCGAGCCGCGAAGACGCGCGACAGAACGACACATTGCTCGAACGGATAGCCGGCAACAACACGGCCGAGCCGTGAAGGCGCGCAACAAAACGACAATTTGCTCGAACCAATGGCCGGCAACAACACGGCCGAGCCGCGAAGGCGCGCGACAGAGCGACAATTTGCTCGAACCGACGGCCGGCAACAACACGACCGAGCCGCGAAAGCACGAGCCACAGAACGACAAATTGCTCGAACCGACGGCCGGCGACTACACGGCCGAGCCGTGAAGGCGCGCGACAGAGCGAAAACTTACTCGAACCGACGGCCGGCAACAACACGGCCGAGCCGCAAAGACGAGCGCCAGAACGAGAACTCGCTGGAACCGATGGCCGGCAACAACACGGCCGAGCCGCGAAGACGCACGACAGACCGAGAGTTTGCCGGAACCGACGGCTGACAACAACACGACCGAGCCGTGAAGACGCGGGACAGAATGATAACTTGCTCGAACCAACGGTGATGCACAACACGGCCGAGCCGCGAAGACACGCCACAGAACGACAACTTGCTCCAACCGATGGCGGACAACAAGGCGGAGCCGCTAAGACGCGGGACAGAACAACAACTTGCTCGAACCAACGGCCAACCACAACACGGCCGAGCCGCGAAGACACGCCACAGAAGGACGACTTGCTCCAACCGATGGAGGACAACAAGGCGGAGCCGCGAAGACGCGCGACAAACGACAACTTGCCGGAAGCGATGGCCGGCAACAACACGGCCGAGCCGCGAAGACGCGCGAGAAACCAAAACTTGCTCCAACCGATAGCCTACCACAACACAGCGGAGCCGCGAAGACGCGCGACTGAACAACACGTTACCGGAACAGATGGCGGACAACCCGGCGGAGCCGCGAAGACGCGAGACAAAACGAGAACTTGCTCGCACCGATAGCCTACCACAACACAGCGGAGCCGCGAAGACGCGCGACTGGACGACAACTTGCCGGAACCAATGGCTGGCAACAACACAGCGGCGCCGCGAAGACGGGCGACAGAATGACAACTTGCCGGAACCACGGCTGACAACAACACGGCCGAGCCGCGAAGACGCGGGACAGAACGACAACTTGTTCGAACCAACGGCCAACCAAAACATGGTTGAGCCGCGAAGACGCGCGACAAACGAAAACTTGCTCCAACCGATGGCCGGCAACAACACGGCCGAGCAGATGTCCGACACAACGACAACTGGTTCGAACCGATGGCGGGCAACAAGACAGCCGAGCCGAGAAGACGCACGACAGACCCAGAGTTTGCCGGAACCGATGGTCGACAAAACGGGTGGCCGCGACAGACCGAGAATTTGCCAGAATCGATGGCCGACACCACGGCCGAGCCGATCAGCGACAGCACCAGCGGCGACGTTTGTCTATCCATGCGGTACTATTTACAACGTATGTCTACGGGTATATCTCAAGGTCAAGGTTAGGGTGTCTGGTCACATCATCAGAAGACTGGTTTCGGTATCAAGAGACAAATTGAACATTGTTTGTGAAAGCCAGAACCTGAAATCTGATGGCCTGGTTTCGAGACGCCATATCTACTTTACCTATCGACGCACGACAGAACAACAACTTGCCGGACCGATGGCCGGCAACAGCACGGCCGAGCTGCGAAGACGCGCGACAGAACGAGGATGTGCCGCAACGGATGGCCAACAACACAGCCGAGCCGCGAAGACGCGCGACAGAACGAGAACTGGCCGGAACCGATGGCCGACATCACGGCCGAGCCGATCAACGACAGCACGAGCGGCGGCTTTCCCCTACCCATGCGGTACGCGACAATGTATGTCCACGGGTATATCTCAAGGTAGAGGGTACGGTGTCTGGTCACATCATCAGAAGACTGGTTTTAGTATCAAGAGACCAGTTTCACAGATGTTGTAGAGTTGAATGTTGTTTGTGAAAGCCAGAGTCCGAAACCAGACGGCCTGGTTTTGAGATGCCAGTTATCTCCTTGATCTCTCTTGCAAATGTATGTGGGACAAATGGCCGAGCCGATGGCCAACAACACGGCCGATGCGCGAAAGACGCGCGACAGAACGAGAACTTGCTCCAACCGATGGCCGGCAACAGCACGGCCGAGCCGCGAAGACGCGCTGCAGAACGAGAACTTGCTCGAACTGATGGCCGGCAACAACACGGCCGAGCCGCGAACACGCGCCACAGAACGAGAACTTGCTCGAACCGATGGCCGGCAACGACGCGGCCCTGCCGGAAAGACACGTCACAGAACGACAACTTGCCGGAACTGATGGCCGACACCACGGCCGAGCCGATCAACGACAGCACGAGCGGCGGCGTTTCTCTACCCATGCGGTACGCTACAATGTATGTCTACGGGTATATCTCATGGTAGAGGGTACGGTGTCTGGTAACATCATCAAAAGACTGGTTTTAGTATCAAGATACCAGTTTCACGGATGTTGGAAAGTTGAATGTTGTTTGTGAAAGCCAGAGTCCGAAACCAGACGGCCTGGTTTTGAGATGCCAGCTATCTCCTTGATCTATCTTGCAAATGTATGCGGGGCAAATGGCCGAGCCGATGGCCAACAACACGGCCGATGCGCGAGAAGACGCGCGACAGAACGAGAACTTGCTCGAACCGATGGCCGGCAACAGCACGGCCGAGCCGCGAAGACGTACGACAGAAAGAGGACGTGCCGGCCCTGATGCCCGGTAACAACTGAAAGGCAACAACAGAACGAGACCTTGCTCGAACCGATGGCCGGCAACAGCACGACCGAGCCGCGAAGAAGCGCCACAGAACGACAACTAGCTCGAACCGACGGCCGGCAACGACACGGCCGAGCCACGGAGACGCTCGACAGAAAGAGACCTTGCCGGGACCGAACGGCAACAACACGGCCGAGCCGCGAAGACGCGCAACAGAAAGAGGACGTGCCGGAACCGATGGCCTGCAACAACAGAACGAGAACTTGCTCGAACCGATGGCCGGCAACAGCACGGCCGAGCCGCAAAGTAGCGCCACAGAACGACAACTTGCTCCAACTGATGGCCGGCGACAACAGAACGAGACCTTGCTCGAACCGATGGCCGGCAACAACACGGCCGAGCTGCGAAGACGCGCGACAGAACGATAACTTACCGCAACGGATGGCCGACAACACAGCCGAGCCGCGAAGAAGCGCGACAGAACGCGAACTTGCTCGAACCGTCGGCCGAGATCACGGTCGAGCCGCGAAGAAACGCCACAGAACGAGGACGTGCTCGAACTGATGGCCGGCAACAACAGAACGAGAACTTGCTCGAACCGATGGCCGGAAATGACACGGCTGAGCCACGAAGACGCGCGACAGAAAGAGACATTGCCGGGACCGAACGGCGACAACACGGCTGAGCCACGAAGAAGCGCCACAGAAAAAGGACGTGCCGGACCTGATGGCCGGCAACAACAGAACGTGAAATTGCTCGAACCAATGGCCGGCAACAACAGAACGAGACCTTGCTCGAACCGATGGCTGGAAACGACACGGCTGAGCCAAGAAGACGCGCGACAGAAAGAGGCCTTGCCAGGACCGAACGGCAACAACACGGCCGAGCCGCGAAGACGCGCGACAGAAAGAGGACGTGCCGGACCTGATGGCCGGCAACAACAGAACGAGGCCTTGCTCGAACCGATGGCCGGCAACAGCACGGCCGAGCCGCGAACTCGCGCCACAGATCGAAACCTTGCCGCAACGGATGATCGACAACACGGCTGAGCCGCGAAGACGCGCGATAGAACGAGAAGTTGCTGGAACTGATGGCCGGCAACAGCACGGCCGAGCCGCGAACACGCGCCACAGATCGAAACCTTGCCGCAACGGATGATCGACAACACGGCTGAGCCGCGAAGACGCGCGACAGAACGAGAACTTGCTGGAACCGATGGCCGGCAACACGGCCGAGCCGTGAAGACGCGCCACAGAACGAGGACGTGCCGGAACCGATGGCCGGCAACACGCGCCACAGAACGAGACCTTGCCGGAACCGATGGCGGGCAGCGACACGGCCAGGCCGCGAAGACGCGCCAAACAGCGAGAACTTGTTCAAACCGATGGCTGGCAACAAAACGACCGAGCCGCGAAGACGAGCGACAGAACGAGGACGTGCCGGAACTGACGGCCGGCAACACGCGCCACAGAACGAGAACTTGCTCGAACCGATGGCCGGCAACCACACGGCCAAGCCGCGAAGATGCGCGACAGAAAGAGAACTTGCTCGAACCGATGACCGGCAACAACACGCCCGATGCGCGAGAAGACGCGCGACAGAGAGAACGTGCTGGAACTGATGACCGGCAACACGCGCCACAGACCGAAAACTTGCTCGAACCGATAGCCGTCAACAGCACGGCCGAGCCGCGAAGAAAGCGCCACAGAAAAAGGACGTGCCGGAATCGATGGCCAACAACAACAGAACGAGACATTGCTCGAACCAATGACCGGCAACGACACGACCGAGCCACGAAGACGCGCGACAGAAAGAGGACGTGCCGGACCTGATGGCCGACACCACGGCCCAGCCGATGTCCGACAGCGCGAGAAGATGCCCGAACCGACAGCCGCCAACATGGCCAAGCCGATGAGCAACAGCACGAGCGGCGGCTTTTGCCTATCCATGCGGCACATGATAGAGTTTTTCTATCGCTACGTCTCAAGATAGTGGTTAGCGTATTTGGGCACATCACCAGAAGAATGGTTTCGTACAAAAGATACCAGTTTCGCAGAATTCGGAAAATTCAATATTGCTTGCGCCGGCCAGAATTGGAAATCTGACGGCCTGGTTGTGAGACGCCACCTTTTATACTTGACACGGCTTTCAAAACAATGGGTTGGTTCCGCGACGGGGAATGCTCTTGTTTGGAACGTTACAAAGAGCGCCATTGATGCGCGCGCCAGGATCACCCAAACTGTTATGTGTTGTAAGCATCAAATGGCTCTGAGTCGCCGTAAACTCGAGCTCCACATCGAGCCGGTGCTCGTCGACTCCCAACACCATATTTCAACTTGTGCAGGAATGGTACAAACGCTTACAATAGGTAGGAATACGGTACCACGACGACCAAGTGTATCTGTTCGTGCAAAACAAGGAGCGTTTGTCGAGCCTTAAAGTCACGGAGCTACTGGATGGATATGTCGTCATTAAAAAAAAACGTCCACATTTTCTAAGAAATCGGGAGCGAGACCAGTACGTGGAAATGGTGAGGCTAGTTTAACGTCAACAGGAAACTCGCATACCGCGCACCGCTGGTCAAGCCAAATCGCTTCCCCCTTTTCAAGAAGAAACTCTTGCGATAACGGGCGGGACATGATGCACACACAAGACATTAAAACCTGCATTTAGAGCAAGAAATACCCGAGAGAGCTGCAACAACAGAACCCGAAAGCATATTCCCATTCCATGAAATCAAGGACCCTCGCGAGGTTGCGCGACACGGCCGGGGCGAGGTGGTCGCTCAGCCTCCTGGTGCGCTTGGCCCATGCACGAATGAGGGGGCCCACGGGACCGCTGTTGCTGCTGCGGCGGCGGCGGTCAGTCTGTGCTACTTCCGCATCGGCTGCGTGAAAGGCGGGCGCCGGTTCCTCCAATTGTGTGTCTGTGTCGCTATAAGAGACATCGTGGACGACGGGAGCCAGCTCTTCAAGTTCGGTGTCTGACCGGGCCGTGATTGTTGTTGTTGTTGTTGTTGTTGTCTTCACATTAAAAACCGTTCCGATCTCTCTCTACCCAGTACCTTCGTATGTCCGTACTGATCCAGCACTCGACGCGGTCGATTCCCGTGGTCACAGGTTAACTTACCCTAAAAAGGTACACTGATTGCTTGGAGTTGGTAAGGTCGTTGACCTCACCGCCAACGACAGTGGTTCTCATCCTGATTTTTATGAAGAAGTCGTGCGGTAAGATCCTCCGATACCCAAGCGTGTGTATTCACGCTATTGGGTGTCTGCTGTTGCACACAAGACAAGGTATCATTGCCACACCATTAGAGAGGCGGAAAAAGTGTTGTTTCCCAAACCCACACTTTGATCATTCCAAGACAAAAACGAGCGCGCAGAACACACGCATATACAATGAAACATTTCCCGCTTTGCCGCCAGAACTGCAACTTGGGCGGGAAGGAGGACCTCATGTATTTAGTTTGGCAATGATAGTGTATACATCGTGTTCACGTACACATCTCCCAATACACGTGTTTCTATGTGAGCCGGAACGAGGGGGTCGATGAACCAAGCCAGATCAATCTGCTGCTGTATTCTTTGTTCTCAACACATGGATTCCACACACACCGCCAGTCACGATAGATTAAGATGAGAAAGGGGGGAGAGGTCCAATCCAGGGACAAAACTCGTGTGTTTGAACGAGACAGCACGTGTGTGGCGGTATGCGGTGTGGCACACTTGTAGGAGCACATGCAGTAAGATGGACCAGCAGCATAAAAGGGGCAAAGGTCTTTTAACACTCACGAAAAACAAAACCAAGTACACATATGCTCGTCAAACCTCCGCTGTGCGTGGTTGTGTCGAGAACAATAGACCCCTTGCCCCGTTTTCATGAAAAAACGAAAATAGTTCGTTCTGTTTTTTTTCTGGATTGATCTTTTTCTCACCTGAAGGTTATGTGGCCCACGTCGGGGAGGCAATTGCCGCCAAATCTCCATGCATCCTTGGCACGCCGGTTTCGTCCATGTATTCTCTAGCTGCAAGACCCGCCCATCACCCATCACACACACACGCATTCGCATCCACGTCGATCCAAGAGCGGCGCCGAAGAGGGGCATGGATCTAGAGCGCGGGAAGTCGTTTGGGGAGAGCGGGAGGAAACCTGTGGCGGAGGAAGGGTGTAAGAGAGAGAAAGCGCGGAAAAATGGCGAGGAACACAAAATTCGCACAACGGCAAACGGAAAAATACAACACTACTTAGGAGAACAATATGCAAACCGAGACTGCTTTCGCGGCACGTTTTTACACATTTCAATATCTACAAATGTCACGGAAAAGCGTAGGAAAAGCGCATTCGCCAACCAGACCATGGCATTAACAAGCATTTTCCGGCACGCAGAACACAACTAGTTGCCGTCGCTGACACTGAAAGTACTAGTACTGCTGATGCTAATGCGAGAGCGGTGGGAGCAGAAAAGCAAACCACCAACTCAGCAAAGGGAAGAAATTTTTCCGAGGTCAATCAATGAAGGCGTGTATCGTGCCACACCCGTGACAAGATCAGAAAAAATACAACGAAATTTGAACCTCACCTGCGGTGCTTTTCGACAAGAGATGCTTTGCGGAAAAGAAGGACCACAGCCGGGCACAAGATAGATCCCCTGAGGATCCAAACGCGCCACCTAGCCGCACCTAAAACAGGGCACGCGTGAAGAGTACGGGTAGTCGCGCGTGGCGTGCTTCTTCCAAATCTGTGTAGAAAGAGTGTGTGTAAAAGCGCCGGGAAAGGGCCGGGGACTGGTTTCACAGACAAAGAACTATCTACTCTCTCAGACCCATGTTTATGGTCGCCAAATCTTTGAAAAAAATCTTCAAATGTTGTCAAACATTTGCGTGCGAATATCTGCCAGAGGAACATTTGAGTACCGTTTTTATGGGCAAAAAAATCTTTATCGTGTGGTTTCTCGAAATGCATCGCACGTGCGGCGGGAATCGTGGTCTACTGCTACCTATGGTCTATGACGTATATATATGTACAACTTCTTTTTTAAGGTCATGGACCATAGACTGCTACCAAACGATTTGTGACAGACAAACCACAAATGCGTCATGGAAACTGAATGGAACGAGCTCGCCAAGGGCTCCCCACAACCCTTGATGCACTGAGCTGATGCTGTGCCCGCCAATATGTGGCGATAGCGCTCCGGGCGTGCGAGAAAAAATGTTCTCGGTGTCAAAAAGAGACCAAAACGTGCGTCAGCGCTTCCCAACGGCAAAAAGTCGGCCGCTTGAGAGGACACGTGAGTACAAAACTATCCAGCTCTCGTCCTCTAGACCATCGATTCATGTTTTGTCTTCTTGGGTGTCTTCTCCATCAACGACTCTCATCCGGTTGTGCGTGGGTTGGCAGTGGCCGCGCTCAGCCGGCAGGGAGGCACATCGTTATGCGCGCAAAGTTGTGGACACAACGTTTTTTTCGGTCTATTTTTCACTTGAATATAGAGCTCTTGTTCCTCCGTCCCAAAAAAGACTTTTTCAACACATCGAGTTCACAGCGACGCGCCTCCCTGCCTGTTGAGTAAGTCCACTGCTGAACCACGCACACCCGGATGAGAGCCGTTGATGGAGAAGACACCCAAGAAGACAAAACATGAATCGATGGTCTAGAGGACGAGAGCTGGATAGTGTTGTAATCACCTCTCCTCTCAAGCAGCCGACTTTTTGCCGTTTGGAGACACAAACCACGCTTTCTCCGTGCCCTCCAAACCACCCCTGTCTGTTTGTTTTGTAGTGCACGCTTGACGAGCTCCCGCCATGTATCAGCCGGCACAACATTGACACGGTGACTCTAGGGTTGTCCGGATCCCTCTATGAGCTTGCTACGTTGAGTGTGCGCTACGCAGTGGTTGGTGTTGAGGACGGAAGGGGCGGTCGTGTACTAATCCCGCCGCTCTTGGGAAACATTTTCGCGACCTGCCCCATTTCAAAATGTTTGAGAATATTTTGTCAAACGAGCGACTTTTGCCCCATTTCAAAATGTTTGAGAATATTTTGGCGGAGATTTTCTCCCATAAACAGTGAAACAAAATCTTTGTCCGCAAATGTTTGAAAATATAAACATTTTCGCAAAGATTTGGCGACCATAAACATGGGTCTCAAAGCCAGAAAAATGATAGCAATCCACAAACAACGCACAACAGCTCGTAAGACCCCGCAACAGGGGCGATCATCGCTTTTGAATACATGTTTGATCATCTAGTATTTTACTTCAAATGAAGAGCACTAACCGTGGCACCAACCGCAACAGACTCAGAGCCGCCCAATCAGCAAGCACGCATAGCATTCCACCCACTCTCTCTGCGCAAATACAGGCAATGATTTCTTCTACGAAAGGCAGCAGAACCTGCGCCAGAAAAAAACATCGCACTAAAAAGCACGATAGTGATTCGTGCGCAAAAGAAAATCATTGGTTCAGCAGCGCGTCAAAATCAACCCGATTTCAGAAGGCGGTGGAATGCCAACATAACTCGTACACACCGCTTTCATCGCCAGAATTAGCAGTTGTAGTAGCATCACCACGGCTGAGACGCAAAATATTGATAGCTTGTTGGGCACCACCCGTGCACGAGAACGACGGCGGTTAAGCTATGCCTCGATAGTTGAAGTTCTTCTTTTTCCGCTATAGCCTGCACGGTGCGATGAATCCGCGCTTGTCCCACACAAGAGAAGCGGAACGACGTTCACCTTAACCGTAGCCCAGCAGAAATGAGCTAATATCGCGAGCCAAACGTCAGATCGACGCGACGATCGCCGTGTTGCCGGATCTCGGATCGGAGAAACGAAGACGCGAAGACACGAAGACGCACATGCGTCTCATAACAATAACTTTCGCGTCTTCGATCTGAGAAGGAATGTGTGTTGACCAAGACTCTGTGGCTAATTACAGGCTAGAGAAGTCCATTTTACCGCTTTGTGTATGGGTTAGGAAAACCTACACTTGTCACCACCGTTCGCCACCACCCCCGTGCGTCTAGATGAGCTAAAATATTTTATGATGCTAGTTTAAATGGCGCTGCGTCACAGGAAGCTCAGGGTGAAGGCGAACCCATCGTGCTTTGACATGAGCACCTTGCTGGAACCTGTCCGTATGGAGTTTCCGAACCTTATTTACCTAGGTATATGGTATGATGACGGCAGTGTGTACGTGTACGCGCAAAGCGCAGAGCGCATGTCCGTCGTCATGCTTACCAAAGTATTGAAGGACCACATGGTTATAACTAACATCGCCCCGTACTCCGCTCCTGGGGGCGAGCTGCAAGAGGAGTGGCGATCTAAACCTCTTCGTGCAAACAAGAGCATAGTCGTCAACGCCGACACTACTACCGCTGTATACGTGCACCCTCTGGGCAAGGAGTCTCTTCAACACATCACCAGCGAGTTCATCGCGGATTTGCTGAAACCCCTTCCTGGACTCTATGTCTTCTACAAATTTGGGTTAAAGCTGTACTCGTTAGAGCAAGACGTGAACTTCCGGGCACGCAAAGGGTACAACAAGGTCAGGTTGTGTTGTAGCCACAATGGATGGACAACCGCCCCAAAGAAAGAGGCATATGACGAGATCCTGCAAGTCCTAGTTAGGAAGACCCGGGAAGCTGTAAACAAGGTCACCGGCAAAATCTCGCCTCACGACATCGATCATTTCGAGAAGCGCGCAGAGAGTATCCCTGACCACAAGGATTCCCCCGTTCCCGAGCAGAGGAAGTTGTATGAGAGAAGGAGGAACAAGGTGCTGGACAACATCGCTGTTACTGTGACCGACAAGTTGAGAAGGCTGAGTAACTGGAGCGGCAAGGAGCGCAAGCTCGTCTACAGCGCGCCGCCCACGAAGCCCGCTTGACGTACGAGTCATACCGATCGCTACACTTCGCTGATGGCAGACATTAATACCACGACTTTTCGCGGTGACGTCTTGTCGGTCTGCCCGTACAAGGGAATTTGTGGTTGATTACACATTGCTCGGCACCATGTTCGCCAATTCAAATCACGTGCTCAAACCACGTACTTGCTTTTGCAAGGCACGGGGCACAGCCATCATCTTTCGCGCGGGGTCGCTCTCGGCCTGCAGTGTACACGCACACACCAGTGACTCGCAGAGAGGTGTTTTACCTTTTGGATGGGCCTCGAGCAGCGACGATGCTGCGAGATTTTTGCGTCTCGCCATCGTGTAAAATGAGTGTCATTTCAATGTTTCAATATCTTCCACACCTCGCAGGCCATACACTCTACCCTCCTCGCGCAACACGCGATGAATACATCCAAGCAGGCACTCTAAATCACCTTGACGTCAACAGCACACCGCTGGTCACGCCATATGGCCGCCCCCTTCTCAGGCAACCGCTACGCAATCAGGAAGCTTCGTCGTGGTACTCAAGGCGACGCGCGACCAGCTTAGAGAAGTAGTCGCTCAGCTTCCTCACGCGCTTGGCCCGCGACCGGGTAAGCGTACGCGGCGGTGGCCTACAATCTTTGCTACCTCCGCACCGGCTGCGTGGAAGGCGGGCGCCGGTTCCTCCAATTTTGTGTCTGTGCCGCTATCGGAGATGCCGTGGACAACGGCAGCCGGCTCTTCAAGTCGTGTCTGTGACCGGGCCGCTAGTGCTTCCGTCATCCGATATTTCGGAGTTTCCCATCCTGGTTTTTATCATTTGTAATGTGTGCGTGATTGCGAGAGTCTGTTGTGGAAGAAGAGCGGTGCCCAGACATTGGATACTGACAGCAACACGGCCCGATCCCAGACACTGAACTTGAAGAGCCGGCTCCCGTCGTCCACGACATCTCCGATAGTGACACAAGACACAAAATTGGAGGAACCGGCGCCCGCCTTCCACGCAGCCGGTGCGGAGGTGGCAGAGATTGTCCGCCTGTGTATTCAATACGTTTCACGGCCAGCAAGCGGAAGCACGTCCTTGTTTCATGCGTGGGTGCTGGGCGCACGCTTTTATTCTACATCTCGGAACGTGTGTTTCCACACGACAGACTTCCGAAAAGCCCAGGATGGAAAACTCCGAAGTATCGGATGACGGAAGCACTAACGGCCCGGTCACCGAAACCGAACTTAAAGAGCCGGCTCCCGTCGTCCGCGACATTTTCGACAGCAACACAGACACAGAGTTGGAGGAACCGGCGCCCGCCTTCCACGCAGCCGGTGCGGAGGTGGCAGAGATTGTCCGCCTGTGTATTCAATACGTCTCACGGCTAGCAAGCGGAAGCACGCCCTTGTTTCATGCGTGGGTGCTGTGCGCACGCTTTTATTCTCTATCGAAAACGTGCGTTTCCACACAGCACGCGCTGCTCTTCCACAACAACGTGCTATTTACTAACGAGTAATCGTGTGAGTCACAGTTCTACGAACCCAACATACCTCCGTGTGTCTACTGTACCCGTATGTGACTTGCACCTACGGGAATGTTCCCCGAGTTTCTCTCGTTCCGAGACTTCTCCTCGGACCAATACCCACGGGGAATTGTCCCGATTCCCGTCAGCTGAACCACGAGGAACAGGTGCAACGGACCAGGGACCAGGAGGACTGTTCCCTCGGCACGTTGCCTGCCCTTTTGTCCGAGACAGGAGGCGAGGGCTTGCCCCTCGCCCCCCTGCTCTCACTCTTACTTCCGTCCCTGATCTCCCCCTGAGATCTGCCTCTTTCCATACTTCTGTCTTCTAAGAGGTTTCCCTTGTGTCCGGTGTCTGTCTACACAGCCCACAACCCATGGCCGTTGCTCACGGAGAACACCTGTATCCTACAGGAGTTGAGGGATCGCACCCTCCTACGGTGTCTTTAGAGAACCAACCCTTATCTAAGGGCTATTGTTATCGACCAACAAAACACGAAAAAAAAAACGAAACCGTGTTTTCTTGAACATATATCGAGGCGTTTTTCCCCGAAAGCGTGAAAAGGAGTCGTTTTTTTTTGGGGCTTGCTCGTGTTTTTGACAGAAGCATCGGACAAGCGCACCGCGGGCGCTGTAACATCACTGAGAACGCTAGAAAGACCTGCCAGACTCACGTCCAGGTCTGTTGTGGAGATGGACAAGCGGCAGAAGCGGCGTTCAGTCCGTTCTTGGTCCAAAACTAGACATTGCGTGGTGCTCTCGTCTTCACCTGCTGCTGTTGGTGCTGGGGAATTTTTTTCGATCACACATAGCAAACACGGAAACAGTAGAACGAGTACAGCAGCACCACCACGACCTCCAAAGTGCTGATTCCTTCGGTTCGGCTGTCTATATGATACCATCTCCCGGCGCCGTGCTGCTTCGTGGGTATTGGGTGCTTGGGTGCTGCTCAATAAGGTGTGTGGGAGACGTGTGCCACCTCACCAAAATGCCGTTGGAAAAATTGCGGCGAGATGATCTGTTTTTGGTCGGACACATCAACATCAATCCACGGCGCCACGCAGCAGTAGAGCAACAGGGCCTCCAACACGCTAATTCTTTCGGATTGGCCATCTATATGATGCTGGCCGTCAGCGCGGCTGCCGCCCTATGATTGTTGAGCTCGTCTACCTTTGGGTAGGTGGTGGTCAAAGATGGGAGTCGCAACCGTGAAAAATGAGCTGGCAAACTGAAGAAATCGCAAGCAACACCCAGGTTGCGACACTCTGCCGTGCGCCTGTTGTTGCTGAAAACTGAAAACAGCAGGCCGGGTGGACGGGATCTTTCTAAGTGTGTTGTCTTCTATGCCGGGTGCTGCTTATTGCGCTTTTATCGCTGCTCTATGGTGAGCAATACCATGTCAACCTGTTGTGTGCCGAGCAAAGCGTGTATTCAGGGAAGGAAACGTACTTTTTGCGATGACATCACGAAAAAAACAAGCAAAAAAAAGTCGGGTTTTCTTTTAACCGTTCCGTTTAAAAAAGAACGATTTCGACGTTGCGTTAATAATAACCCTAATCGCTTTCAATTTTACCCAGAAACGAATGTCAGAAAAAGACTGGCGTTCGTCGGGATTCGAACCCATGACCTGGCGTGCATTGATTGACGTGGGTACCAACTGCACTACCGGGGCGACCGGCAGTGTGTGTGACGCTGGTGTGCTCCGCAGCTACTCCGAGTATCATGAAAGAAACAGCAGCCACGATCCTCTCTCCTCAAATTGCTCACCGGACCCAGTGTCCTTGGCGGCCACCAACGACAAAACTCAATCTTCGTCGCGTGCTGGAAGTCTTGGTCAAGGACTGCCCTCACCAGGTCACAAGTTCGCGCTCGGGGGCACACGACAGCAATCGCAGTGACCCCTTCGCGTGCTTCGTGATCGGAGGCCGGCCTGTTAGGATTGTAGGTTCGAGCAAGGGCGCACAAAAACATTTTTCCGACACCTAACCCCCAAAACGTTTTTTGGGGCCCTCCGGGGGGGGCGTACTCATTTGTTGCTTGCCGTAGTCATTTGACCATTGACCACGCGTCCCTTTCGAGACGGAGCACCGTTCCTACACCTACTAGAGACACCACCAACATTTGGGAGCTCTTTACGTTTCTGCCACAAACTCCATAAAAGTTTCTTGCACATCTTATCCCCGTCCTCTAGGGCCTCTTGTGCCCACCATCTATCCCCAATTATCGCGATCGTTTTTTCGCTGTTGTCTAATCTACCAAACTTGTCCATGTCACACCCTCTCTGTCTCATTTCCTCCTCGAGATCCTCTCTTTCCTTCGTGTACAACTCACACTCCCCAACTATGTGGGGTCTACTCTCCTCCGATTTGCCACATGGACATGTGTGTCTATCCTCCTCTTCCTCTCTCCTACGGCTGGTATACCTCTTCCTCCGTTCTGGCAAGTCCAGATCGCCTACTCGAAATTGCAATTTCAGCTTTTTCGCATAGTCCATGGGGCCGTCCAAGTACGTCTTCATCCCTATCCCTTCTTTCAACTTCCCGTATATCTCCAAGTGGTCTTCGCTTCGTACCTTCTTCCGAAGGGTTGCCTCCTCCATACTCTCTAGCATCTCCTTGACTTTCGTCTTGAACCCCCCGAACCCTTCCGTGTCCAAC